GGGGGCCGCATCCGGAGGAAACGCCAAATCCCAATGCGGGTGCGTGCCGGGGTGGGGGCTTCACCGGCTCTCGCCTTCCTCCCCTCGCAGACGCCAGCACCTACGCGCACTTCTTGTTCGACGCCTTCGACGCCGACCGCAACGGGGCTCTCTGCTTCCAGGTGAGCGTCCCGGCGCCGCTTCCGCGCCCGGCTTCTCGCCGGGAAAAGCCGTGCCAGCGCCGCGCTCCTCGAGCCGCGGCCGGCTGTAAGCGTGCCCAGCGGCGTGATTCATCAGATCTCCCTCTTCGCCCGCGTGCGGTCGGGGATAAAAGCTCGGCGCAGCGGCGACGGCCAAAATCTTCGGACTTCTCGACGGCGGGAGAGTTCCAGGCACTGCGGCAGGGGCGGCTGGCGGGGGGGCCGGCGCCGGTTTTACCGTGGTGATTAAAAATAGCTACAAGCGAGAATAGAAATGGGATCAATAGGAAAAAGTCCCCCGGGGCGTCCCACGATCGATGGCAGCGCCGCAGCACCGTTGGAGGGGGGCGAACGGCCGAGCCAGGCGGGACGCGGGTCCGTCCCTGGGGTCCCGGCGTGCCGGCGGTGCCCATGGGACGTCCCCGTTCACGGCCACGGTTCCTCCGGCAGGATTTTGTCATCGGCCTCTCGGTCTTGCTGCGGGGGACGGTGCAGCAGAAGCTGAAGTGGGCTTTCAACCTCTACGATATTAATAAAGATGGCTACATCACCAAGGAGGTGAGACGGGGAGCGGGGACGAGGACTGGGGGGGCCGGGCAGGATGGGAGCATCGCGGGGGGCACCCAGAGAGGGACGGGGAGGGCGGACACGGGTGCTGGGGGACGAAGGTGCCCTCGTTCGAGGGTTCCTGTCACCCTGTCCCCGCTCTGTCCCCTCCTAGGAAATGCTGGAGATCATGAAGTCCATCTACGACATGATGGGGCGCTGCACCCAGCCCACCCTGCGGGACAGCGCGCCCGCCGAGCACGTGGAGCTCTTCTTCCAGGTGAGGCCGTCCTGCGTTGTCCCCTCTCGGCGGCCACCAACACCCCCCGGGTGGCACGGGCTGGGGCTGTCACCACCGCCGGGGACGGGGACGTCCCCACTGAGCCCCTGCCCTTCCCTTGCAGAAGATGGACAGGAACGGCGACGGCGTGGTGACCTTCGAGGAGTTCCTGGAGACGTGCCAGAAGGTGAGCAGCACCAGGGGGGCTTCGGCCTCACCGCCATCCTCCTCCTCACTGCCAGGCCTCCCAGTCCGAGACATAACCCCGTCCCGTGCCAAAACAACGCGCTGGGGGGAGCGGGAGAGTCGGGGGGCGACAGCTCCGGCCCGCCCGGGGCCGACGGGGGGCACGGGGGGCTCTGACCTCTCCCTCCCGCCCTGTCCAGGACGAGGACATCATGAGCTCCATGCAGATCTTCGAGAACGTCATCTAGCACCCGGAACTCGGCCCCGCCAGCGCCTTCCGCCAGCACCCGAGGGGAACTTTGTTTTCTACGATTTCCGACAAAACGAGAGGTTTAAAGGAAAGAAGAAAATAATCCACCTGGCTCCCGGCACTCCGGTTACAAGAGACGAGAAGAAATACGGACGACTTTGCCGGTTCGTCCACCTGAGCCCTCCCCGGCACAGCGCCGGGCCATGCCCGCCCCACCAGCCAGACAAATTTTGGGGGGTAGAGCCCCCCAGAAGCGAGGATCCCTCAGCCGCGGGTGGTGCAGGAGGCCCCGGGACGGGACCCTCCGGGCAGGGGGTTTCTGTATCGCAGCCGGGAAACGGCAGCGGCCGGAGGCCGAGGGAAAGCAGAGAACCCGCCCCCCCCCGCCACGCGTCGCTTAGGGGGACCCGCAGCCAGGGGAAAGGCCGCTCCCCGCCCTCCGGCGGTATGAGGAGAGAGGGTTTATTTTCTAAATAAAAGAAACGGCGATGATGTAGGGATGAACCGTGCCGCCCGGGGAGCCGAGGTGGAAGCCAGGGCCGCGCACAGCCCCGGCAGGGCCGGAGAGGGCAACCCCGGGCCCCGGGGTGGTGGCGGCAGAGGCAGGACGCGGCCGGGAGGGTTATTTGGGTTATTTCTGCTGTTTTTCTCCTCACAAACGGGCCGGGGAGGCCAGGTCGCGCCTCAGCCAGGCCTCAGCCAGGCCCCAGCCAGGCCCCCGCCCCGGCCCGGCCCCCTCCTCCGCAGCCGCCTGTTGCTCGTTCACTCACTGCGTGTCTCCATGAAATAAAGGTGAGAAACACCCGCCTCGGCCCGGCTCGCTCCCGCCGCGGCGCTCCGCC